TGCTATATATTGCAAAAAAAAGAAGATAAATCATGTCGCAGAGATGCCATCACTGGATTGTGGATCACGTCATGTGCAAGAAGAAAAGTCTCAGGGATCAAGATCTTGATAATGAAGTATTTATTACACACACAACAAAGACACTTTTTTGTGACCACAGGTCACTTTTTCAGAAATATGTGACAAACACAGATTCTGCATCACTGTTTGAAGTTACACTTTAAGTGCTACACACACTCTCTCAATCAACATTGACTATTTTAAATCCTTATGCTACTAGCATAGGTAAATAGATAGGAAAGTATATTATATTCACTTCCTTAAACTTTTTTTTTTACATTTCTTCAGTTACTTCCTGGTTCTTTGCCTAGGCGAATGATGGCGTACATACCAGAAGTCTTCAGGAGAGGAGGAGGGGATTTCTCATCTAAGCACAGCCTCCTGCCTGCATGGCTGAGCTGAGGGCAGATGGATTTCAGAAAGTAAATGCTAGATGAACCATCTGCCCTTACTCAAGATGGCCACAGCTAGAAATGCTAGGGAATGTTTTTCAAAATGTATTCTCAGCACAATAAAGTATGGAGAAATGGATGACTGGATATGTTTACTTTGAATATTAAAAACAAGTTAAATAGTGTTTTTGGTTTGTGGTGCTCAAATGCAGTTTAGTTAGGCTTTAAAGGCTGAGAAATTGTTTCTGATCCATACTTCAGCACTGAGTGCCTCTGCAACATGGTTTATTCTGTTATTTCTGCACTAAGTAAGACTAAGTAAGAGAAAATGAGGATCCCTGGTGTTGTGAATTTACAACCTTTCCATATGAATTAAAACACATCTTAAACTGAATTTGGTGTATGGTGATTTCTCCATATGGTTTGGGGAACCCTGTTTCTCAGTTGTGACCAATGGAATACTGGGGCTCAAAATGGGCTTATTCAAGTGACATCCACAGCCAGACTGACTGACATCCAGCCATCCATGTGTTCATCGACAGGTGAAAACCATTTAATACAGTTTTGTTTTGTTTTTTTCAAATGATCTCCCACAGTATCCACCAACTCCAAAGGAGAAGGTTGACCAGTACAAAAGAAAACATACAAATGGTTACCATTATCGTCTAGGCTATGCGCATATTTGTGCTCTCTTTATAAATCTAATCTCCCTTCTGGTACCTCTGGTAGTTCTTAATGCTGTGTATTTCTCCCTTTAGCATCAAAGGTAGCATGTAGTCTTTTGTGGTAGTTCTCTATGGGGCCCTGAATTCTTGCAGGTGGTATAGCTGCCCATTCATCTTGGCAAAATGCCTCCAACTCATGCAAAGTCTTTGGTCATCTTGTGTGAACTACACATTTGAGATCTGCCCAGAGTGGCTCGATGATATTAAGGTCAGGCAACTGTGATGGTCACTCCAGAACCTTCACCTGTTCTGATAACATTGTTAAGTGGGGAGATTACTGTCACGAACCTGTGGTAGTGAGCCCTTGTAGACCGCCAACTCTGGGTTCCCCAGGGCACGGAGTCTAAGCCCCAGCCCGATTCTTCGCCAGAGCCCCTGATGGTGGGGATGGACTTGCAGCAAGCTGGAATCAGGTCACAGCCCCCAGGTACGCCCAGCTGAGGATGCGGAGACCAATCACGTGAGTGTAATTCAGGAGACAACAGGGAAGCCGATAGACAAGCCGAGGTCAGGACAGGTGGAGATCAGCACAGCCAGTAAACGAAGGCGGGGTCGGTGCACGGGTAGTCAGCTACAGGATACAAGCATAGTAACAGACAGGAGCTCAGACAACTAAGAAGTTGCTCAGGCAAAGTGGCCTAGACTGAGCATGTCTTATATAGGCAAGCAAACAAGGAGGGGGCAGGAAGTGACGGAAGGGAAGGAAATAAAACCCAGAGAATAGCAGACAACGCCCATAGGTGAGCACAAAAAAACCACACATGTGAAAGAAATCAGGAACAGCACTGTAGCAAGAAGATAAGAATACACAAACAAGAACTGCAGGCTAACTTGTGACAATTACCACAAAATGGATGCACACAGTAACATAGACCCCATATTTCTGCACTCTAAAAAGCCAAAGTTCTTTTGTTCTTCATTTTGGTCAAGTACACAATAGTTAAATACCCTCTCCCTTTTCTTATCCCATCTGTGTCCAACAGGAGATATCGCCTTTACTTCCTACTTTGTAGAAACAACAGAACATGAGAGTAAAATCCAAAGTGAAGGAAATGCCTTTCTTTAGAATTTGTCATGAGGACACCCATTTATCAACAGTGTTCCCATTGGAAGATTTAGCCTCTATTCCTGTTTTAGTGGCAACTCGAAATTTAGTTTTTTTCCTTACTTTCAGCCCTTGTGACAGTTGTTAAAGGAAAAATTGGAAAGGAAAGGTGAATTTATCTGACTTGAAAGATATCTCAAGTATATACAGTATATTCTAATATACATTTACTGGTATTTTTAATCCTGGATGGAGTTCCACTTTAAGTGAGTGCACAACGTGATAGGTAAACATTATAACTTTTAAAAGTCACTCAATTATTGTTATTGGTATGTGAAATCATCTTTGCTAGGGGTCATGTCTATGAAGCCATAGGACTAGATGATGTTTCAAGGCTTACATTTTGCTTCATACAAGATGGTCAATAAGAGAAATCTGAAGAGCTGAGTATATAGTATTAATGTTGCCTGAAACTCTTTAAGGAAATATAAAATTAGAGTTTTTACAAACACACTTTTCTAACAGAGAAATTCATACTGAATCAACTCATGCAGAGCACAATTGTCCTACTGGGACTCCTGAAACAGTCACACTTTATAGTGTTGTAGGAGAAGAAATAAATACTGACTTCCACCCACCACCACAACATACATCTGGAGACATAAAAGCCATCTTAAAAATGAGACAGATCAGTAAAGAAGGAAGATGACTGCACAAAACATAGTGACCAAGTACAGAGATGTTTATTACAAAACAACAGATTCTTTTTGTACTTGCCATCAAATATTTTTCTCTGCTTTCATTGGAAGACACAGCATCTGCTTTAGATCAACACCTACCAGGAATAATGCCACCTACAGGAGTAGATGCAACTAAAAAAAGAAAAGACAGCCCAGGGGTGGCCACTACTGATAGACAAAACCCCCACTCTGTGGAACAACAGTTAAATGGTGTAGCAGTGCATACAAGAACAAAAGTGTGTAAACACATGGCACTCAGCGAGTCAAATAGTGGGTGCTGTGTCCTCCAACGGATGCCCAGGATGTACTTATCTCTCAACTCCAATGTGCTGTAACCAAAAAGTAGTTCCCAATGCTTGATAGCATAAGTTTGGACAACAGGTTGCTGGATTCAGCATCATATAGTAGCAGTTGATGCCACAAGGCCTTTACATAGGCCCTCTGAAACCATGAATATGAAATCTGACCTTCAAATCCAGACACAGCATTCGAATACACCCAAATTGCCCTGACTACATCCAAATAATGTAAGTAAACTTCCTTAGGTTGGCCATATATAATTTGTTTTTATTGGATCAGCCCAAAAACGAAAAGGTTGAAGATTGAGAAATCCTGCTTACTGTGCTATTGTATTCTGACACTGACCAGTGCTGCAGCCAATTGGTGTCAGCTGCTGATCGAATGAAAGTTTTTCAACAGTCCCATTAGATGGAAGTAGATCATCAGAGCGACTTCTGTCTAGCGGGAATGGCCATAGATAGACCAAAATTTGTCCGGTCCCTGCTGAACTTCGATCCATCGATGGCCCGCTTCTGGGTGCATTGGCATGAGACAAAGCAATGGAAGCATATTGTCCTCATTCTAGTGAAATCCTTAGTCAAGAAAGAGAATTTCAGATACATAACAATCTTACCCTTATCAAATATCACAAATGGAAGCTTGCAGATGTAGCTTGCTGAACCTGGAACTGGAAAAGCTGACCAGAAAGATCCAGCAGGACATGCAGGCAGGAGTGTCAGGCAAGGACTCAGCAGGATAATTAGCAGAACAATATTGTCAGGATCCATCCCGCTGCCTGATTGACAGGTGGCTCTGCTTTCCAACATGCAGTTGAGAACTGGAGCCAGCCACCTCCTCCCCAGCCTGGTGCTCCATTGAGTCACAGTTACAATCACCACTCTCCATTTGGAAGAGGCTAAGAACTGAGCAATCAGTGGTAGTGTAATCGCTCAAGTTCTCATTCTCAGAGCCAGTGTGAGACACACAGATGCTGCAGCATGGAGGTGAGTAGAGAGTGTTTGCGTTTTTCAAAAGCCCATACTTCTCCTTTAAGAAGCTGCTTAGTATTCACACGTGATGGACTTTCCTGTAGATTGTCCCTCAAGTTGCAGTCCACAGGTACAATAAAAGGCATATTATAAGCAGTGAATCCATTTACATTAGAGCCTCTCTAAAGTAGAGCGATTACCAGTGCAACTTTGAAGCTGGACTTTGATGCGACTTTAATCCAACTTTACATTCACTGGACCAAAGTCACACCAAATTGAACGGGTGCTATTAAAAAGTTTGAATGGAGCCTTACTGGTGGGGAATCAATCACTGTCTTTCAAAACACATGCAGTGAATGTTTGGTGAATGTCATATCTTATTGGCAAACAAAAAAACAAATTGCTGACATAAAAAAACAGTTAGTGTTTACAAAATATGACCTATTTAACCACCTCCCGCCCGCCACATAGTACAATGACGGGCGCAAAGGCGGTTATCTCGTTCTGGGAGGATGTCATATGATGTCGTCCCATTCTAACCGCGTATGCGCGGCTCCGGGAGTATGCAGCGTGGCGATCAATGGTGCGCTGTGTCCTTCGGACACAGCGGATTACTGATCAATGGAAAGAGCCGAAGAGGTTGTCTTGGTCATGTGATCAGCTGTGTCCAAACACAGCTGATCACATGTAAATAGGGAAATGCCGGTTATCGGCATTTCTCTCCTCACAAGCTGACAGCTCGAGAGGAAAGGAGAGCAGAGCCGGTAATAGGCATCCCTCAGAGGGGACATGTGAACTGATCATCAGGGCACTGATGATCAGTGTGCCCTGATGATCTCTGTAGCCCCAGCAGTGCCATCTGTCAGCGCTCACCCATGCCACCTGCCAGTGCCCATCAGTGCCACATCAATGCCACATAATAATGCCTACCAGTGCACATCAATACCACATATCAGTGCCCATCTGAACTGCCTTTCAGTGTCCCCCATCAGTGCCACCTATCAATGCCAGTCAGTGCCACCTATCAGTGCTTCCAATCAGTGCTGCCTATCAGTGCCAGTCAGTGCCGCCTATCAGTGTGCATCAGTGCCCCCTATCAGTGCCCGACAGTGCTGCCTATCAGTGCCACCTAACAGTGCCAGTCTGTGCCGCCTATCAGTGCCACCTATCAGTGCCATATATGAGTGCTGCCTTTCAGTGCCCATCAGTGATGCCTGTCAATGCCCATCAGTGCCACCTACCATTGCCTCCTCTTCAGTGTCCATCAGTGCCACCTATCAGTGTCCATCAGTGCAGCCTATCAGTGCCCATCACTGCAGCCTCATTAGCGCACATCAGTGAAGGAGAAAAAGCACTTATCTACAAAATTTTATAACAAAAACTAAGAAAAAATGTTCTTTTTTCAAAATTTTCAGTGGTTTTTGGTTTGTTTAAGAAAAAATAAAAAACCCAGAGGTGATTAAATACTACAAAAATAAAGCTCTATCTGTCACAAAAAAAAAATTCATATGGGTACAATGTTGAATGTCTTCAGTGTAATAAAATAACTGATTTGCGTGTTAAAGCGGAGTTCCACTCACTCTGTAAAAAAAAATAAAACTCAGCAGCTACAAAAACTGTAGCTGCTGACTTTTAAAAAACAGCCACTTACCTGTCCCATGATCCCGCGGTGCCCCTGCTGCAGCCTGTTTCACCTGCTGTCTTGTATTCCAGGCGCCGGGGCGTCTTCAGTGTGGGCACCTGGCTGTGACAGCTTGCGGCTACACAGCAGGATGCCCACTGTGCATGCGCGAGTAGAGCTGCACTTCCTGAATGTAGTCTTCTGGGACCTGTCATGTGTCCCATAAGACAACAGGGAGGGAGGGGGGAGGACAACTTCCGCTTCCAATCACCTAGGAGATCACAGCGGAAGTGGGAGCGGGTACCTGTCAATTTCGGGTACCTGGTCCCTAAAGGTGCCAATCCTTAATGGGGAGTGGGGGACCAATCTTTAAAGCGGAACTTCCCCTTTTGGGTGGAACTCCACTTTAAGCCAGACATAGATGGATCAAATCCCAACCGGTTCAGCAGGGACTGGTCGAGATTCGAACAATCTATGGCCAGGCTGATTGTACCCAATTTGATTGTTGTACAACCAGCCTGTCACATTTTTACATGCAAATTTTTTGCTAGCGACTATTATAGCGACTAGCAATAATTACTGTGTTCTCCCAGCGGGGTCGACTCCCCCCTGCTGAGAGTATACAATAGCTCTGAGGATTTTCCTGTGGTTGCAGAAAAGAAAATCACATCATCTATGCCGGCTTAAGCCCTCATCAATCTGCCTTGGTGCTGGTCAGTTTTTGTTAAGTGTCCTTGAGATGATATGCTTACATTTAGAGCATTAGTACTGATTCATGTCTGTGACAGAACGCTGTGCCTGACCCCTGCCCTTCTCACCAACTCGTGACCTAAGGACCAGCCGATGTCGCACCACGCTGTCACTTGCGTAACAATGCCACTCTCAGCTGTGCCGTGCACAAAGATTTTCCAGGACTACAATCTATGTGCCAGCAGCCTGAGAGCGGTTGTTACTGGGTTAGGTTAATTATGCAATTAACCCTTCACACTGCCACCACCTCCTTTTTACAGAGGAGGAAACTCACAAATCTTAGCAATCACACTATGATATTAGCATAAGTGTCTGTAATACACACTGTCACCACAGACAGATGTATTCAGAGGATTATCACACACAGTCGCACTCTTCCAGAGACATGGATTCTTTAATTTGCATTAAAAGCTTTAGAGACAGTTTCAACAGTTTTCAAAATAGGATTTATTACTAAAAAGGTAAAAATGGTGCAATTAAAATATTTACAGAAAAAGATGTTACAAAGATATAAAGAGAGCAATAAAACAACAGAAAAATAAAAGAAAGGAGTTTTAGAAGGCAGAATACTTGCAATGTCCTTGGTTTGAGCAGAGTCCAATTGTCCGAACAAAAAGATTGCCTTGGCTCTCAAGTTTGTTAGATGTGTCCTGATTGATGTTAAACGAGAGCTGTCTTTTCTCCAGCCTGTCAGTCTTTTTCTATCATATTAAAGGGGTGTCGCCTGAGAACAAATGACCAATCATCCAGTTTGGGGATGGGGTCTAGGAGGTAACCCAGGTTATGACCAAGTCGCCTTACAATTTCATTATAAGGTTAATAACCTTCAATAGGTGCAGGTGGCATCCTATCAACTGGCAGATTAATATTCAGAATTATATTTCAAACCCAGGGATACCAAACACAGAGTACCCTTGTCACCCAGGAGGGAAGAGACTGCTTTCTTCCCCGTCCTAGGTGCTAATATAGTCATGTAAGGCCTTGTTTGACTCACATTAAAATAATCTATCCAAATATATACCTAATATTAATGTGCCCAGTTGCTGCTGAACTTTATGGATTGTATGCAAAATGTCTACATGTGTAATGGACATTTTATGGCACACTCTGTATCCTAGAGCCCTAACAGGTCATGACTGACTGAGTTATTGTTTTACGATCGGGCAGAGAAAAGTGGTTTTCAAAGCAGACTTCCTGCACCAGACTAATTAGTGGTTTACAGCCCTGGAGCTTCATCTATCTGTGTTTTATTTAAGATAAGAGGCCCTTTTGATGTCCATTCAACTTACATCTATAAATTCCATTCAAGAGAAAGGACGGAGGAGAGATAAAATGGCTAAGGCCTAACAAGATGGCTATCACATACAGCGTCCATGTCTCTATTGCGTACAATCGTCACACTGTCCAATGAGACTTTATATGCAATTACATTACAATCAAGCAGTATATAATAAAATCATGTATCTTTATGTACAGTCTAAAAAACATAGTTTTCAGATAAACAGAATAGCCAATACATCAAACAACATGATTTTATCCCCAGGGCTATATGGGTATTCTGTAACATTGAATGAGAATTACATGCATGTTGTATGATGTATCTGCCAATCACAGCATGTGGTTGGAAAGTTGATCTGCCTATCGGCATTAAAGCTTACTTAAAGGGCAGCTGATAGCCACTGGGAATAGACCAAGGGTTGGGTAAGGGTTTATAGACCAGCCTGTGCCTACAAAGACTTACACTAATCTTTCCCTAGGCAGTTTGTCAGCTGCACTCCCTATACCTTCCCTATCATACCTTCCCTATCACAGATAAAGCATAGTATCAATAGGACTGCTGTGACCTCCCCCTTTTAAAGTTAGAGAGCTGGCTTTTCCAAAATTCCCTTTACTGGCCCTTCTAAGTCTGCTGACCTAAATTTAAGGGGTAGGCATTACTTATGGTTACAAAGCATGTGTTCTGGAAAATTCCTGCTTAGATGTGCAGGGACTGCAAAATGTGAACTTGCTGGATAAACTGCAAAACTGAGCTTCATCCCTACATCCCAATGGAGACACAGACAGCAATAAAAACTTAACAGACTATCTAATCCTTCCCCACTATACCCTGAACTAAAAAAAAAATGTATTGCCTAGAGACTTTAACCACTTGCCCTCCAGAGGATTTACCCCCCTTCCTGACCAGGCCATTTTTTGCGATACGCACTGTGCTACTTTAACTGACAATTGCACGGTCATGCAATGCTGTACATAAATTAAATGTATGTCCTTTTTTCCCACAAATTGAACTTTCTTTCGATGGTATTTGATCACCTGTGTGTTTAATATTTTTTGCACTATAGACAAAAAAAGGCCGACAATTTTCGAAAAAAAAAACCCCAATATTTTTTTATAATTTTAATTTTTTTTTATACTAGTAATGGTGGCGATCAGTGACCAATAGCGGTGCAGGTAGGGCGGCATGCACCCCTTACCTGTAAATGCAAATCACGTATATATACATGTGATTTTGCGCAGCCCTGCTGCCCTGTAGCAGTCCTTAGGGCAGCTAGCAAGTGGCTAAACACTTTAAGGCAATTTAAAAAAAAATAAATGCTGCATCCTTCCAGCACCCAGTCATGTGACCAGACCCAAGGCATGTGTATTAGATGTTGTTTACATAGATGTTAGGATATGTCTGAAATATAGATATTCAGGGACTTTTTATTGTCCTATTAAAGTAAACTAGATCTGTTTTATGCTAATTTTGATGGGCATGTGTCTTTTTTTATCTATGTTACTAGAGGGAAAATCTAAATATCTCCATATTAAAGGCTAACACCAAGTTTGGCACTCCCCATCACCCCCACACTTTCTTCCATTTTGTTTAAAATGGTATACCAATTTGTTTCCTATACATCTTCAGTCAAAATACTTGACATAATAGGCCCTCTTCTTCCTCTAGTGCTGAGGGGGTCCTGAATGCTGAAGAGAGCAGAGCTCACATAATGATATCAATGCTGCATTCTCCTGTGAGCCAAGCCCAAAAGAACAGAAGTGCTGGACCTTTTAGTGGTAGAGGGCGATAGCATTGAGGAAGCATTGAAAGTCTTCTTTTACGTTCATTGTTCTTCCCCAGACGCAGCTCCTTAGCCACTATTACTGGTAAGTACTAGCTGCCAACTGCTCCTTAGAAAATTACACTTGCAGATATTCTTCACGTTTCATTGAGTAATACTTTGTAACAATGTATTGTTATACTGTATCTACTATTAGATTGATTTGTAGATCTAATCTGTGACATGTGATCTGCACGTGACATCAGTTGCAAACACCTTGTAAGGAAAGTAAGGAAAAAAATTCTTTTACTAAAATGTATTCCTGTTTAACCTCTTATTAACCCTTAGTTAACCCTAATCAGCCTTAATTAACCCCCTTCTCCTCTCAGCTATTATTTTTCTGCTAATTTTGTTTTACTGTTTTATTCTGCCAATGATAGTTTTTCACTTTCAGGTGGTTTTTTATTTTTTTTCTCGGTGTTGCAGTAACCACTTGCCGACCAGCCACTGTAGAAATATGGTGGCAGGGTGGCACAGCTGTGCAAAACCACGTTTTAAAATGTGCTTTTGCAAAACAGGTAGGGGGCGCACACGAGGCGCGCCACCGCCCTACCTGCGCAGCCAATTGCGGCCGCGGGTGTCAGTCGTCAGGTCACGGCCGGTCATTACCTGCCATGTCCCGGCAATTAGCAGCAATCACTGACAGAGAGCA